GCTTCTCTTCTTTCACTTTTTGTTGTTGCTACCACTGATAGATTTGCAAATCTGGATCCTTGACTAGGTGCTGACTTTACAAACCCAAGTTTTGGCTACTGAAGTTGGGGAAAGGGGGGCCTGACCTTGGAGCAGATCATTTCCCCTTCAGCGGGATGGCTCTGCCTGCAGCTTGACGCCAGATAATAAGCGGCATTCAGTGTCAGCCCAGCAGCTGCCATGCAGGAGGTCTGTCCCTTCAGGCAGCTGCTGCTCATCTCCCGGCAGCTGGCAGCGGAAGTGACATCTGTTTTTGGTCCCAGCTGCGAGCAGCGCAGAGGTGCCAAAGCCCAAACGCCTCAGTTCTCGATCCAGGAGCGAGGAAGGGTTTCTGATGCCAGACCACGGCCTGGCTTGTGGAGTGAAGGGAGGGGGGAATCGTCTCCTTCAACGATGGTGGGCTGGGAGGAATGGAAAAAGAGTGACAAATACAGAGAGAAAGAATAAGCAACAGAAGTGGGGGAAAGGATGGCAGAAGGGTACAGGAGAAGACAGGAATGGCTGAAATTAAAAGGAAATGCAAAATCTGAAGTGTCCAGTCTGAGAAACAGAAACAAAAGGAAGGAGGCAGAGTAATGCAAATGAAAGACATGAAGAAGTAGCAACAAACAACTAACCAAGGGATATGATTATCTAAAATGGCTGCTGAACAGTAAAATGCCTTACTGAGCTGCCACCTCAAGTGCTACTGAATCTGGAAGGCCCGCAGCCCTTAGTCTATTGTGCCATTTAAGGGGTTGCCCCTGCAAGTTTTGCCATCTGGAGGAGCTCTGGTATATTCTCTCTTGACTCCTTGCTTCTCCACATTATTTAAATTCATATCACTTTTTCCTTGTCCAAGTCTCTTACTCTCTCATTTATCTTTGTAACAGTGTTATAATTCAGTGTTGTGGCATTACAACTGAAATATAATTTTAGGTTCTAAGATGGGAATAGGTGCAGGATGAAGGACAAGATCCAATTCAATCTAAGGACTGAAAAGCATACTTAAATTAACCTTGGAATAAATACATTAAGAAATGTCACTTTGCTCCCCAGGTTTGTGTATGCAAGGCGAGGAACTGTATTCAGTGAACATATTTTCACAGTTGGGCCTGTTTCCTCAGCACAGGTGCTGAAATTGTGTTTTTTAGATCTCACAACTAATTGAGTATTCCTGGAAGAAATAATGAAGGAAAATGTATATTTTAAAAGAGCTTTACAGCCCTGTCAATCAAAATCAACTTACACTAGGGAAAAAAATGCAGTGTCAGTGACTGTTTCTTTCCCTTGGTGCTTGCCAGAAGCACAAGACAAACTGAATTGTGGTAAACAACCAGGTTGGGGAATGGGCTGAGGGAGATGGATGTCATAAAAAATTACCAGTCTGAAGCTGAAAGTGCAGGCATTTGGGCCACAAAGATTTGAACCCATTTTCATACTTTGCCTGGATATATCATTGTAGGCACCCAGAGCAGGGCATCAGTCATGGAACTGGGTGCCATTACAAATTATTCAAAATCAGGTATTAAAGGCGGGATTGATTGAGTTGGGCAGGAATAATGAAAGCAGTTTCTTAAGTCTCTCGGAATTCAGCTCTTCAAAACTGGCCTAAATATAACTGCAGTTATAGTTTAACTTCTTTTCATATTATAATTACATATTTCTAGAACATAAAGATAATATATATATTTATACCTTAATATTTCATAATAGATGTTACCAATGTGAGTCCTTGAAGATATTGTTCTTTATACAAGTCTCAGCAGGTCTCCCAGTTTCAGTGAGAATTAGCTGGGATTTTAATAAGTGATCTTTGAAACAAACAGGAGGAAAGTCATCTGAATATCATTCTATCATTTCCTATACAAGAAGAATTGACCATCTAGTAAACTATGCATATGAATGAATCAATTTAATAACTAAATACCAGGGTTTTTTCCAGTCAGACAGGAATAAGATTAGTGCATCTGGCATCTAGAGCAGAAAGAATAATCAGCAATCTTAAAACCCATGAGACTGAGGCAGTACTAATACTCTGAAGGGCTCCATTTGTCCCATAACACACAGTTGTTACAATTACCAGTCATCAGAGCAATAACTCTGGTCCAGGACAAAGGTAACTCTTGCCCCAGACTCTGGCACCTCAAGGAACACTGTTAACATGAGCCTATTCCTAAACCCCAAAACCTTCCTCAACAGGAATGCATTGTCTGCACATCTTGGTGGACGCTTTATAACACGAACTAGAATTTTTCAGATCAAAGATATAGATGAAGAGAAAGGAAATACAAAATAAAAAGCTTTTGCATGTCTGGAAGCGAATGGGCTCTTCTTCATAAATAAAGCCCAAATAAAAAGCAGTGAGCAGTAGCAAGTGTCCCAGACATGGAGAGCAGAGCAAACAAAGTATGCCTCTTTTCTGATGGAGTGACCTACAGAGAGGAAGAGTTGCTGTATCCTCAGAAAGTGCCAAGCAGTAATCGGAAACCTTACATGTCTCTGGAAGTTTCTCTTTAGATGACATCTACAACAGCACTGTGGCAATGATGAGACTTTGATGTCACACAGAAATACAAATCTGAATGCACCAAAAGCTTCATGGCATCCAGAAACACTTTTTATTCTGCAGCCTACATTAATTATCAAGACGAGCTAAAAGCTGCATTGTGGTATTTTAAAGTCAACTAAAGTTGAATCTACTATGCCACTGTTGCAATAGGGTAACATCTCACTTTGTTTCTCTTTGCTTTTTTGTTTGGTTTTGAGGTGTTGGGTGTTTTTTGTTTTTAATTTCACCATCTTCAATCCTTTTCATTCTTTCAGCCATTTTTAGAGGACCATCAAATCGTTGGTTTTTTGTTTTTTTGGTTTTTTCCAAGCTATGTAGCCTGGAAAGCTAAAGAAAGAAAGAAAGATTGTAAGTAGAAATTGTTCTGCCTGACTTCTAAGACCAAAAAAAAGTAATTTACATTTCAGATTTTGCATGAAGTAGGTTAGTTTCAGTATACAAATCTAATTCACTCGACTTGGCAGTTACAAAAGCATTTCTAGGGCCATATACTCCATTCTCTTTTCTGATGAACACTACCCAAGGAATACTAATTAGAGTGCTTAAGGAGAAAGGTAAGCAAGGCTGGCAGAGTCTGAGCTTTTATTTATATTCTGTTATCTCTGTCCAAATGTTCAAAGCAATATGGGTGGTGACTGATTCACTAGTTAAATTCAAAACAGCATGTGTGTACAAAAGGCTGCCAAGTTTCTCATGTATAGTGCTATTTGTGAGAAGCTATGCACAGACAAAAAACAATCACAAAGTTTCTTAATTTCATTTTATATTTTTATTCCCATTGTGAGAACTAACCATCACCCAAAAGACCATTTCAATTTGGTTTGGATACACAATAGCATTAATCACAGTCCAGTTTCTCTTTGTTTTGTTTTGTTTTTTTTTTTACTGCAGTTCTGGTATTTCGTGATCTGTTTTAGTAGTTCTGTTGTTGGTGTATTTGCTTCCAGCAAAATAGATTTTTCAGTGTTTGTAGATTATTTGAAAAGATTGTTAAAGATTAAAAAATCCATAATGCAATGATTAACAGCTCATTAGCAATTACTCTTATTATCTTCCTTTTAAGATTAGTACTAAGTATATTTGATGACCCAAAATTTACTTTTTCTTGTGCATTATCTGTTTTCTTTTCAAAATAACTCCGTAAACAGCTAATATTTTTTCATTGCAGCAATTCATTGCAGTATCATTTTTAATTGGATTGAAATCCCTTTGGGAGAATGATGTAAGTAAAACAACCCTAAAAAATAAAAGGTTCTGTTTAAGCAAATGATGTTACACACATACCGACGAATATCATGATGTATAAATTAGAGTAGCTAGAAAACATGAAGGATATTCTAAATTCACTTGCTTATTAATTGGGGAAAACACATCACATTGTATTTTAGTCTTCAAGCAAAGAAGAATCACAAAATACACTCAAAGAGACATCTTTCATCATGTCTTTTAAAAGCCTGTGAGATGAATTCCTTCATCAAATTTATTAATATAAAAGCAAATTCAGAAAACTTATTTGTGAAAGCTGTCCTGTTAAATTATGAATACCAGTAATAAATTCTTTAGTTCTTCATTTATTTGCATACTCTGCATATGAACAGACATGAATGAACAAAATATGCCTATTGTATAGTCATACAAAAAGCTAGTATGAATGTTTATGTTGTGCAATGTCAGAAAGGACAAATTATTAATCAAAGTAGAGAGGAGAAAGAAGCAAAGAGAAAGCAGATGATGCACAAGAACTTTGTTAGTTGTCTTTGCATGACTTCTGTGTGGAAGAAAATGTCTGCTTTGGATATAGAATCCTCAGCTAAAAACTCTTTTTTTTTACTATGCAGTGAAGGAAGTTTGCAATCAAGACCAGCTTTTAAAAGGGATTTAAACAAGAGTTATAGATAGTCATGCCAAGGGAAAGAGGAAGGGAACCAAGTGCAGAGCATGAGAGGGTGTGGAACATGGTGGGAGTAAGGGGAGGAATGCTGTTTTTAGAGGGAAACTTGTAAACTGACAGTGTTCTCACTCAGGACAGATTGAATTGGGGACTTACTGAACACTTCTGGTGGGAATACTGCTCCAAGACTGTATTCCATTCACAGCAGGTACGTAAGACCCTAACCTAGCCCCTTCACAAATTGCAGGATAGATGGAATTCCTGAGTCTGCTGCATAGGGAGGGACAGATGTTTTCAGGGACTCTTCCTCTTAATGGCTGTGACACCTGGAGATACTCCACATAATAATCATTCACCATTTCATCTTCCTATCCCAACTGTCCACACTTGCTTACCATGGAGCATACATTTGAATTCATAAGGCCTAGTCTCTTCACTATTTAATACAAACAGATGTTAACCAGCAAGAGATGAAAATTGTTATGGCTGAGCTAACAGAACCTTCCTATTTCTCCATGACCTATAGATTGGGTAGGGGAACTTTTTTTCGGTCCTAACCCTTTTCTCACCTTTTAAGCATTCATACACACATACATGCATATACATACACAGACGTGCAAAAACGGAGTATGTGCACAACAGTAACTCAGTGGTGCTAGTTCTGAATGATGGCCCGTGGGCACAGGAAAAAGCATAGCATCAAGGGGGCTACAGCCAGAGCATGCTGCATCTGGAAAACTGGGGTTTAGCACCTTGTTGTCCCCACGCATGTCTTGTCTTTGATTTGAGGTTACCTTCATTTCACAGAGGACAGGGACCTGACCCTTCCCACACTTCTTGCAATACCTGTTTCTGTTGATGTCAGGAAGGTTACACTCTATCATTAACTCTACATTCACTGATAGCTATTACAGCAGCAATTTTTAAATAATTTCATATAGAGTAGATGAGCTGTGCTTTAGGATTAATTTATCTTAAATAAAATTTAAGTCGTGCAGTCCTAGAGTACAACACACATACACACACACGTTTAAAGAAAATTCTGCATGAATGCTTTGGTGTCCCATGTGCACTTTTTTTAAATGATCAGTACCTTAAAAAACATTTCAATATCATTCCTCACAGTATGTACCCAGTGTATCTCAGAATTATTTGTATTTCCTATTACACCTTATACATAATATCAGACTTACATTTTAAGTATCAAAAATATGCTGTTAAAGGACCTTAACAGTAAATGGCATAAATCCATAGTTTTAATCAAAGGGTAAAATGACTTAAGACTTTTGGTGAATAGATGATGAAAAATGAATGTTTCCAAAAGCTACACATGATTTATGGTCTTATGCTACCAACAGCTGGCCAATCAGGTCTGGGTTTCTGTCCTTTATTAATGCCATGATAAGAGCAGCAGCAGAATTTATTGTCTCCTGAAGAAACGAAGGGTCCTGGAAAAAAAAAAAAAAAGGGAGGGGGAGAGCAGGGAAAACAATATGTTTACAAAAGTGGGAAAAGTAAATATTTAAAATAAACTTTCATGTATGCCAAATCACCATATGATTGTTGAAACAAATAAAACTATTTATTTGTACTTATTAGAAGAACTTATAAAACTTGTATTTTAAGGAAGTACAATTTCATAGTAATAACCATTTTCTCCAATCTCCATGATGCAAAACTGCTAGAATTAAGGACATTTATCCAGAGACCACCAAAAAGCTTGATTCTGTCACTTGCTTCCTAAATGATGTTTAGATTTTAAAAGGCAGTAAAAATGTTGGGTTTGAAAACATGGAAAAAAATGGAGGATTTAATTGAGCAGCTTAGTTAAAACCTGCAACTGTAAGCACTTACTGAATCCCATCTGTAATTTACAAACTACTTAAACTCAAAGGTATTTAAGCACTGGGACTTAGCTGGTTTAAGTTGATCTGTGTATCAGATAACTTCAAAAAGTAGTCTGGTTTTGATAGGCAAGTACAGAAACCAATACAGGAAGCAATAATAAAATGAGGCATTGATTCCGTGCTTCTAACAGCACTCCAGCTCACATTTGAAAGAGTCTTTTGTCTAATTGCCAAGTATTTTTAATTGTATTGGCTATAAAAGGTTGGCCTCAAACGCTTCCATTTGCACACTGGGAAAACAGCAATAGGTGTAACCAGGCACAGAGACATCCCTGGAGAGAGAAATTTCTGTGAAGCAACAGAGAAAAAGAAAGGTCTATACAACTCAAGGATAGGGATAACCTAGAATTTATAAATACAGAAGGGGAGCTACAAAGAGAAATCAAGAGCTGTGCTTCATAGCCATGATGGAGAAAACTGGAAACAATAAGTTTTGACAGTAAGGATTGGTATACAGTGGAACAGATAGATCAAGGAAACTCATCACAAGGGTCTTGTAATATGAGAAGGTAAAATAGGATGCAGGTACAACTTCCTGCCTGGGGTGGAAGGATGGAGCAGTTTGAATCTGTATCTTTTCCCTTTTTTTTTTATTCAGATGGTGCATGAAAGAAGAATTTGTAGAGAACGTTTAAGAAACTCAGATTGATCATTTCCACTATTTGTACAAAAACATAACATCCAAACATGCCTTTTAAGGAATAAGGCAACTGCTGAAGGGACCCATCTATTCAGCTAGCACAGAGATTAAGAAATTGCACTCGAAGGAAAAACCAAAAGGGGAAGGGTGTCCTTGGAATACGCTCAATGTGGAAACAGGTCCAGAGAAGGGCCACAAAAATCATAAGAGGACTGAAGCACCTCTTCTATGAAGATAGGCTGAGAGAGTTGGGGTTGTTGCACCTGGAGAAGAGAAGGCTCTGGAGGTGATTTCACTGCAGCTTTTCATTACTTAAAGGGGACCTACAAGAAAGATGGAATCAGATCTTTTAGTGGAGCCTATAGCGACAGGATAAGGGGTAATAGTTTTAAAATAAAAGAGGGTCAGCTCAGACTAGATATAGAGAAGAAAGTTTTTATGATGGGGTGATGAAACACTGGTGGAGGTTTCCCAGAGAGGTGGTGGATTCCTCACTCTTTGAAACATTCAAGGTCAGGTTGGACAGGGCTCTGAGCAATCTGATCTAGTTGAAGCTCACTGTAGGGGGACTGGAGTAGATAACTAACCTTAAAGGACACTTCCAAACCAAACTACTCTATGATTCTATGATAATACTTTTATTAACTTTGTGATTTATGTAAATTACAGGAAACATGCCAGAGAGGTAACTGTATAGAATCAAAAATAGCTAGTTTATAACGGGTTCTTTTATAATTCCTGAAAAAAATTATGTTTGTATTCAACTAGAATTTTGTCCTCAAAATCATCAAATAAGTAAGCTGTTACAATTTGTCACTCCACAAATTCATGTTATATATTCTAATATGAAGTAAAAATATTTATTAGAGGTCTAAAAAACTGTGGTAGGATAAAAATGTTCACCACATCTGTATATCACAGTTCACTGAGTGACACCTCCTATCAGTCAAGCAAGTAGTGCAGAACTGTACTTAGGTCCTGCTCCTTCAGGACCTTTTGTCACGGACCAAGAGTGCAAAGATGAACTCAGAATCCACTACTCCGATTCAGCAGGACTTTCATTCCCTCATTTCCCATGGGTATACACTGCTGTATAATGTTCAAGGAGAGCGGAAGTCGTGCACGCACCCACTCAGACAGCAAACACTGCAGTCGCTTTCAAGATCGAACAGCACATTTCTTGCTATTCAGCAATGCCAAATTCTCTTTGTGCCCCTCATAATATTTTGCTCAGTTTGTCTTGAGAAGCATTTCACAATTACAGACACTGTTTTCCAAATGGGCTTCCAGCCATATCTGAAGTTGGCTGGAGGTGTATTTTTTTTTTTTTTCCATTTCACAAGAAAGAAATAAAATACACCTGGCCAGGAATGTTTCTCCCAATAAATCTTTCCACATCCTCTGTTGGCTACTGGATTCAGTACACATTCCATTGCAGTAATAAATTATTTAAGTTTTTGAACATAAAAGGAAGCAAGAGAAAGAAATTTAACTTTCACAGGAGAGATTGAACATGACACCGTAAGATTCCTTTAGACTGAAAAAAGCCTTTTCTAAAGCTAAACCTAAGGCCTTAGTGCTAATTTCCATGTTCTGAAGGAAAGACGTGCAAAAAATTATGAGTAATATTTATAACACAGGCAGAATAATGCATACAGAAACCTGCATGTAGAAAAGGTCTATCAACCACCCTGAAATTGACTGCTGAATTGAAATTAATTCAAAACCAGAAACACAAAAAGTAAGCAGCACAACTTAAAACTTCAAATTTTCCAATTACTTCACTTCCAATAATCTGATTATTAATGCTCATATTATAACTACTCAGAAAACCTACTGGCCCCTGTGCAGGATTGGTCCCTGTAAATATGTGTTTTTGGAAATAACTAGAAGTGTTTTTCTTTAAGGGAATATACATTCTCATATCTAAGATAACAAATGTAATGGAAAATATATTCTTAATTCTTAGTACAGTTACAGTTGATGGTTTAATGACCTTGTGAAGCATGTACTGAAAATTTCAATAGGGAGATCCTTTAAAGTATTTATCATAGGGGTTACTAATTTTAGATTTATGCCTTCCTGGTAACCCATTCTGATCCCAGGGTCACCCATCCATTGAAAAGTGTCCAGCACCCGGGCCTATGAGCCAGCCTCTGAGTGCAGGAGAAATCAGTCCCACAGAGGTCAAGTATGTGCTTACTCTAACTTTCTTTACTCTCACACAGTTTTACTGGAAAGAGGTAGTAAGTAACACAATGCACTGGACTCTTCCAGGAATTTCAAAATCATGGTATATCCTGTATCTTCCTGAGAATCAAAACTCGCTTTCATGCTATGAATCATTATTGTAGTATCCAGTAGTCATTGCCTGGGCATAATTTAAAACTTTAGTTGATCATTTCTAGTCATTACCACCTGCTATGACTTTATTTCATTTTAGGCCATTACTGTGTCCATAAGTGGACATTTTCAATGTGCTGCAATGATACTTAGCTTTTTCTTAAGTACTTATATGTAATTCGGGAGCCCCTGGTGGTCTAGTGGTTAAGAGTGCAGCACTGTCACCGCCGAGGCCCAGGTTCGATTCCCGGTCAGGGACACTCCCCGGGCAGATGGAGCTCATTAGCCCTGTGAGGCAATCCATCTACGTCCTGAGGACCTCGCTGCCACCGTCCAAGCTTGCTTGGCCCTGGCAGATGAACCTTAGGATTAAAGGGTGGGCTCAGTTCCGCGCACACTGTGTCTCACCTAAAAAATCCAATGCGCAGGCTGGAAGGTGTAAAGACCTTCCCCGGATCTTCGCTCGCGAAGACTGGCCATTATTATTATGTGTAATTTGGACACCAGTAGTCTTTATAAAGAATATTGAAAAGACTTAAAATTACAGAATTCAACAATAACCCAGGAAACGAAAAGAATCTTGTGGGTCTTTATTAATTTAAACAAACAAGCAAACACTTCAAATCCCCAGCTATACCCTTAAAACACCCACGTTTTTGATACTGCAATGTTATTTCTGGCAACAGTGCTGATTGCAGCTGATAGTACCTACAGGAAGGCTTCTATACAGATGCCAGGACACAGTTAATCTACCACACCTAACTCCATTGCACAGGCCACTGATCTTCTTTTATATTCAATGGCATAGCACTAAATCTTTCAAAAATCTCATTATTAGCTGCAGGAAGTCAAATAATCAAGCAGAACCAGGTCTTCACATGTCTAATTGCGTACCTGACGTGTTTGCATATATTGTCAGCACGATAAAAACCAGGATGTCAGAACAGGACAATCAATACAAAGCCCACGAGAACTTTCACACGTTACTGCCCACCCACTGCTCAGCGCTGCAAACCCAAGCAGGGAAGGTCCCTCAGCCAGTCCGTGAGCGCACATTCGTGCACAAACTGGATGGATAAAACACGAATAGTTCTTTCCCTCACTAATGAAACCCTTAAAAAAGACCATGACTTTTATTTAAAACTTGGAGGCAGCAATGATTTTAATGGATTAATAACTGAAGTTCCACATGATCCCCCCAAACCATTGTGATATTCACCGTCTACTCGTTTTATTCAGTTGATTTAAATCATCCTCCTGTAAGAAGAAAAACCAAGCCCCCCTAAAATTTTTTGGCCATTAATAAATAGAATTTTTTATTGTTTGAACAGATTATTAACTACATTTATAAGCTAAAACCAAAATTTTTACCACTTTATATTTATGTTCTTTGGAAAAGAAAGTACTCAGAAACACTGCCAACCTTATAAACCATAAATCCACATAACAGCACTTTGATTCCAAAATAAAATATCCACTTTGTTTTACTGTTATTAAACAGTAAAAATATTCCAACTTAACCATACTGTTCATACTCAGAATTTATTTGATGTAGAAT